AAAGATCTTACCGTGTGTGTCCGTGTGTCTGTGCGTCCGTCCCGGGTAGAGATTTCCTCTTACGATTCTCACTTTAACTCTTCTTCACACCGGAGGGTCTCTCTCTCTCCAGCCGACTCCCCTACCAAAACCGGTAAAAAGCAACAAAAAAATGATGTCTTGCACATGAAACATAAAATCAACACACTGACAAGCAAGTCTCAACCATATACAAATCTAGTTGCATAAGCCTAGAACAGAGTCAAAAATAATACATGACCTCTTAACCACTTGATGGTGCAGGCGATACGATTTTTCGAAAGGCAGTCTGCTCTTCCTAATGTTCGGCTCTGCATTGTTGAATGTGAGATGAAAATCAAGGGATAGAGAGTGAGATATGCAAGGAGTTCACCCATCAAATAAAATTCAGATTTAATAGCTGCAACCTATTAAAAATTCGTACAGGAGTCAAGCCCCCAACTCTCTCTACCTTGACTATAGATGTAGAGGCCACTAAGTCGGTGGACTGTCCTTTGCTTTTATCTAAATTTTAATCCAATTGTAACGCTTTAACAATCATACATAAACTCTTCGTTATGACTTTTTACAAAAAAAAAAATAATAAAGAAACCAGGGAAAAACTCACCTTATGTTAGAGATTGTCCACGGCCCATACGTTTTTCATACTCAACGTTGCTATACACTTCAACCAATTAGGCGAAAATAAACTGTTTGACTAAATGTATTAAGTAATGTTGGAATGTACAACATGCTGCATTCTCCATTAGTAAAAATCTAGCATATAGATGTTCTTTTGAAATATTTGCATTAAAGATAATATTTACTTAAGAAATAAATACAAATTTCTCGCACAACATAACAGTTCTCACATGGAAATCATTAATGCACGGAAGCTTGATTAAACTGGGGAACTTGGAACTAAACCAGATTTCTAAACATGCCTGCTAAACCTCTAGTGTCTATAACCATGATGTGTATATTAGATAAGTAGAAAAACCATATTTTCAACAATTAAGTACAATCATGAAGGAACTCAAATGTAAAAAAATGAAGCATGTCTGAACACAGTTCCGTACATATATATATATATATACCCAACAATTTTACTGACATTTTTTCTATCATATCAGCTGTCTGCTTCATACCTGAAGGTCTCTGCAGAACTTTCCAGTCATTAGCTTTGTCTTTTTAGTGACCGGAACATCGGTTTGCAACTAGAAGCCGAGCCGAGCTTTTCCTCCCCTAGATTTGCCCAGAGGGAAAAACCACTTTCTTAATGGAAGAAAGAGGGAGCCACCCGTCCCGGGAAACGAAGTACGCTTTGGTGAGCRAGAAGCAGCCAGGTATAGGGGAAGGCACGGTCAGGTGAGAAATGTTGTACAATAGAGAAGTCAGCTAGTGCACTTAGACAGGTAGTTGATTTCATTAGGGACCTTCTTATATCTAGCTAGTCTGATAACAACCCGACATTGATGACCTATATATATATATATATATATATATATATATCAAGCATCCTAATCTACATTCTACCTGGTAATCCGCAATAAAGAAGATGCATTTACTTAGTCCGGTTGTGGTCTACATCCTGTGGAACATACATTCTTTTGGCAAGCATATGGAGAAAGGAGAAAGGAGAAAGATGGAGAAATAGAAACAAAGACCTGCCAGCATCATGTTCTTGAGCCCTAAGAACATGGAAGCTGGAATCCCGTCAAGCCCTAATACTAAAAAAACGATTTTGAACCCTCAATCAAGCCATAATATTCAAAAAATGAACAGGTTTGCACTGGTTGCTTTAGAATGAAAGTGTTTCAAGTATTTTTAATTTAAAAAATTTCAGAGAGATAAGAGATCTGTTATAAACCTTGCCATTTTACATATTTCTGCTAAGCACATCATTAAGAGACCAAGAAAACACCACATCAACCAGGTCTTGAAACGTACAGATTTTCGGACTTCTTTGTTTCCCTTAGATACTTGAGAAAGAAACCAAGTAGCAATTACACAAGCAGTTAGAAACAAGTACACAAGAGATTAATTAAGGTTGTTAGCTCTAGTATTCCAAAAACGATTTAGCCATAGTATAAAGAAACCGATTAAAAAATAAACCCTCTCTTGAAAAATCAAACAATAATTTAGCCCTAATTCAAAGATTCAATAATACATACCTATTCGAAACATCCAGTGGCCCGTATTGCTTGTGAGGAGCATCGAACGCCAGAGAATAGAGAGATAGAGATGGTCTGTGGGAGGTAGACGGGATTTTGAATAAAGCCATCTTGGGAAAAACATAATTTGTAACACCCCCATCCTACTAGACCTAAGATGAGGCGTGACACAACCGAAAACGGATAAAAAACATATAGATAAAAGTTGAAATACATTTAAGTGTAAATATCCAAAATTGAAGCTTATATAATAAATAAATAAAAATCAAGGTAAGAAGGTCAACCGTATCATTAGGATACGTTGTTCCCGATGGATGATCAGTCCAATCAGGCGTCGTAATGGAATGGAAGTGTTGGACGCAACACCATCTCATTCCCCGACAACCAGAGATATATGGTATTCGATTCTATGTGGTAACCAATGTAATTGGAATTCTGCTCTATCCAGGAACCATGGTATATGGTATTCGGTTCAAGGATGCATCCAACATTCTCTATTTGGCTTGGCCATAACCCTTATGAGAATGTCATGACTATTTTAGCCATCATAGATGCGTCTCAATACATGTTCCCGAAGTATTGAGCCTAGTCATAACTAAATTCAATAACCTTAAACTCAAACTCCGAAATCGTATCAATAATTTAACATGGGATAACTAGAATAATAAAACCATGAAGCTTTCAACTTAATTTATCGGCAAGAATCATAGAATACGCCGTTAATGGATCGAAGTCTCAAGCATACAAAGTCTTTAAAACAAGACATCTCATAAACACAAAAGATTTCGGATAACATCTTGATAACCTCTACTTTTGTGGATGAATACCATGGTCAAGATTCCGCGGAATGGATAATCACTACATTTGATTACCCACGTATTGAAAGGATGTAGATATTCGTACCTTGGAAGTGTTAGAAATAGTCACAAGAGATTTGAGGCTTATGAACGGTTCTCTCCTTCCGGGTTACCTACACTTGTTAGATAAAAATACCTTCAAACGACTTTCGATAACAATTCTTATCAATTTCTCCTACGGATCTTCAAATGTGCTTAAAATACCCTTAGGATACTTAATAAACACTCAATACAAATAATAGAACCCTAAACAAAATTTGTAAAAATCCAATCTCTACATATCAAAACAGTAGCTAACAGATTCTTAACACCTAAAGTTTAAGCCTTTTTTCTCATACTTAGAAGATAAACCAAACCTTCATGTAAAAATGAAAGTTGTAGATATACCTCTTAGGATTTCAAAGAAACTGAATTCACATAATTTGGAGCTCTGGTATAATTACTACAGAATTTACACTAACATAGTGAAATTTCGAAGCTGCAGAACAGGGCTGGGAAAACCAGTGTTTTCGAGTTGCTTAAACTCATAATTAGGTTTTTGTGTAAACTACAAAGTTGTAGTACACTCATAGATCTTTCTATTCATATAAATAACATCTTATTTGGACAAATGGTTGATTTTATATGAATTTTCAAACTTACTGAATTGAATCTGTCACTTCCAACAGCACCAATCTTGAAGAAATTCCACCTCAAATCATCAATCTTTCACCTATATTCATGAATACACTTAGGGTTTAACCCATTTTCCCCAAAGAAGAAGAAATCACAAAAAAATCAAACCATAAACATAACTTACTTTGAGTCCAAATTCCAAATATAACCTACAATCTTCAAAGATCTTGGAATTCCACAAGATGTTTGAGACTTATAGTTGAATTTTAGGGTTTCTAGAGAGGAGGAGAAAACCAAAGTAAAGAAATTTGATTTTGGGTTTAAAAAAATAATAATAATTCATATATATAATTAAATATTTACCATCTAACCCTTAATCTTAAACTTATTCACAAATTTACCCTACTTTAGCAATTCTTTTACAATTTGGTCCTAACCAAGATTGTTTCAACCAACAATGGAACTTAAAAATATATATAAAAAGAACTTGCCTTAATGAAAAAGAAGCCTTCATATCCTTGCAATGCAAAAGATTTAACTGAAAAAGAAGATACGACTCTGGTCCTGCTTTGGTTCAACTAACTGATAGATGCTATCAGGTTGGCTCAAATCTCTGAAGATGACTCTCTTCATGGTTTGCTTGATGTTTGAACAACCAATCCATGCCAATAATGAGATCAAAATATTTCATATACATAGGAAGTAAATTCACTTCCCGGACACAATCAGCTATTAGAAGAGGACAATTTACAAATTCAGACAAAATGCAAACCGAACTACCCATTGGAGTAGTAATATGCAATGGAGTCTCGGTTAATTTCTCAAAAGGTCTCAAATGGTCCTCTAGAGCATTGGACACAATTGAGTGGGTTGCACCCGTATCATATAGTACATACACAGATTTTCCACATAAACTAAGCATACCAGATACCATACTTGCAGAAGATTTGTCAGCATGCAAAGCAAACACCCGTCCACCAGTTGTAGACTGCTTTCCTTTCTCAGTTACCTTGTCTTTCTGACTCTGTTTACAGTCTCGGGTCAAATGTCATTTCTGTCCGCAATTGTAACAGGCCTCAGTTATTCGTAGACATGGACTTGGTCGATGTGTAATATTGCATTCTTTGCACTTCTAGGGAGGATTGGTATTAGAAGAGTCTTTACTAGATGCTCCTTGAGAAGATACTGGTGCTCTGAAATTAGAAGATTTCCCTGAGACTGAGTGAAGAGATCTGATATCTGTACTACTGAAACGCACATCACGACCTCGTTTCTTTCCATAATCTGATTTCAAAGTATAACTTTCCTGTTGAGCCCGATCGATGTTTCTCGCTGCGTCTGCAACCTGAGACTGTTATGTAGAATGTTTGTGTATGTACTATTTGATATGAGTGCAACTCACTCAATTGTGTCCAATACTCTAGAGGACCATTTGAGACCTTTTGAGAAATTAACCGAGACTCCACTGCATATTACTACTCCAATGGGTAGTTCGGTTTGCATTTTGTCTGAATTTATAAATTATCCTATTCTAATAGTTGATTTTGTCCGGGAAGTGAATCTACTTCCTATGTATATGAAATATTTCGATCTCATTATTGGCATGGATTGGTTGTCCAAACATCGAGCAACCATTGAATGCGATACGAAGAGAGTCATCTTCGGAGATTTGAGCCAACCTGATAGCATCTATCAAGGAGTTGAACCAAAGCAGGAACCAGAGTCGTATCTTCATTTTCAATTAAATCTTTTGCATGGCAAGGATTTGAAGACTTCTTTGCAGCACTACAAGACCTCGATGAGGTGCCACTCGAGCTTAGATCTATTCCTATAGTGAATGAATTTTTCGACGTGTTTCCGAATGAAATTCCTGAACTACCTCCCACGAGAGAAGTGGAGTTCACCTTAACCTAATTCCGGGAGCAGCTCCAGTATCGAAACAACCGTACCGAATGGCTCCATCAGAAATGAAAGAGCTAAAGGAGCAAATTCATGATTTGATGAATAAGGGATACATACGTCCCAGTGTATCACCGTGGGAAGCACTGGTTCTTTTTGTGAAAAAGAAAGACGGGTCAATGCGATTATGTATCGATTACCGCGAGTTAAATAAGATGACAATATGTAATAAGTATCCCTTGCCCCGTATTGATGACTTGTTTGATCAACTCCAAGGAGCAAAATTCTTTTCTAAGATTGATCTCAGATCTATATACCATCAGCTATGTGTCCGAGAACAGGATATTCCTAAAACAGCTTTTAAAACTCGGTATGGCCATTTTGAATTCGTTGTCATGCCATTTGGGTTAACTAATGCCCCTGCTGTTTTCATGGACTTAATGAATCGAGTCTTTAACGATTATTTAGACGAGTTCGTTATAGTCTTCATAGATGATATTTTGATTTATTCTAAGTCTAAAGCTGATCATGCTGAGCATCTTCGTATTGCCTTAGGTATTCTTCAAGATAAGCGGTTATATGCTAAAGTCTCTAAATGTCAATTTTGGTTAGATCAAGTCTCTTTTCTTGGTCATATTATTTCTGCCGATGGCATTAAGGTCGACCGTGCCAAAGTCGAGGTTGTGGCTAATTGGCCGAGACCAACCAATATATCTGAAATTCGGAGTTTTCTAGGCCTGGCACGATATTATCGATGCTTTGTAGAAAAACTTTTCTCGGATTGCATTGCCTTTAACAAAACTCCTTCGAAAAGGAGTTAAATTTGAATAGGGTCCGGATCAGCAGCAGAGTTTTGAAATTCTGAAACAACGATTGATCACAGCTCCAGTCTTATCTTTAGCTCAGGTGGTTTTCAGATTTATAGTGATGCCTCCCGAATCGGCCTTGGATGTGTACTTATGCAAAATGGAAAGGTTATAGCGTATGCATCACGACAACTAAAGCAGTACGAGGTAAATTATCCTACTCATGACTTGGAGTTGGCTGCAGTTATCTTTGCACTTAAAATCTGGCGCCATTACTTGTATGGAGAATCTTGTGACATTTTTACTGATCACAAGAGTGATGTACATCTTCTCTCAAAAAGAGATCAATATGCGTCAAAGGCGTTGGTTGGAACTTCTGAAGGACTACGATGTTTAGATTCACTATCATCCAGGCAAAGCGAATGTAGTGGCAGATGCATTAAGTCGAAAAATGTAGGATATGTTTCTTGTTATTTGGTTCAACCACTTGATTTCCAGTTTTGAGAAGTTGCGTATTGATATCTATCCAAATTCTAATAACTTGACTTTGGCTAGCCTTTCAGTAGAGCCATATTTGATTTCACGAATTAAAAAGGCCCAACAAAATGAGGGTGTCATTTGGTCTCTTGTACAGAAAATTGAAAATGATCTGAGTTCTGAATTTCGAGTTGATGACCAAGGAATAGTTTGGTTCCAGGATCGTTTGTGTGTACCCGATGATCCCTACCTAAATAAAGTTGTATTGAATGAAGCGCATAATTCTCCTTTTTCAATTCATCAAGGTTCTACCAAAATGTACCGTGATTTGAAACAATATTTCTGGTGGGACGGGATGAAGAGAAACATTGTTGATTATGTTGCAAAGTGTTTGACCTGTCAAAAGGTCAAAATTGAACATCAAAGAGCAAGCGGTCTTTTACAACCTTTATAGAAACCTATCTAGAAATGGGAGCACATCTCTATGGACTTTGTTACAGGGCTACCAAAGACTCAGAAACGTCATGATGCGCTTTGGGTAGTTGTAGACCGTTTGTCTAAGTCCGCGCATTTCTTAGCTCTTCGTGAAACTTTTCAAATCAACCAATTGTCTAAATTATTTCAGAAAGAGATCATCAGACTTTATGGCACTCCTGTCTCAATTACATCTGATAGAGATTCACGATTTACCCTCACGGTTTTGGAATGGTCTTCACCAAGCCTGGGGAACACGACTTAATATGAGTTCAGCTTTCCGTCCTCAAACAAACGGACAAACTGAACGGACAATATAAACCCTCGAATATATGCTTCGTGCCTGCGTTCTAGAATGGTCCGGAAGTTGGGATGAATATATTTATCCAGTCGAATTTTCATACAATAACAGTTATCAATCCAGTATTGGTATGGCTCCATATGAAGCTCTCTATGGTCATAAATGTCAAACACCTACATGTTGGAATGAAGTAGGCGAACGGGTAATTGAAGGACCTGAATTAGTTCAAATCACAACTGAAAAAGTTGAGGTCGCCCGTAAGAAAATGAAAAAGGCTCAATCGCGCCAAAAGAGTTATGTGGACCGACACCGTAGAGCGTTGGAATTTCATCCAGGTGATCATGTTTTCCTTAAAGTTTCTCCATTACGGGATACACGTCGTTTTGGAGTTAAAGGAAAGCTCAGTCCACGTTATATTGGACCCTTTGAAGTTCTAGAGCGAGTTGGTGAAGTAGCATATCGTCTCGCAATACCTCCCCAGTTGGCTCATATTCATAATGTTTTCCATGTGTCGACGATCCGCGGTTACTGATATCATCCATTGCATGTCATTGACTATCCGCTTGACAAGATTGAACCAGATTTATCTTATATAGAGGAACCCGAAGCTATTATCAAATGTGAAGAAAGAAAAATGCGTCATCGATCAATTCCATTCGTTAAAGTCTTATGGCGAAATCATTCTGAAACTGAAACGACATGGGAGACAGAAAAATCAATGAGAAAACAGTTCCCGCAACTTTTTGAAGATATATAAATTCATAACTCTAACTCGATTTCAGGGACGAAATCTTTTTAAGGGGGGAATAATTATAATACCCCGTATTTAGAAAATCTAATCTTATAGCCGAAAGCCTAATTATGTTCAATTTTTGAAATCGTGCTTTGTTGACTTGTATCTTAGTATTCAAGAGTTGTTTATTACGGCAAGTACTTTTTATATTTTTTTTTTTTAAGTTCCATTGTTGGTTTAAACAAGCTTGGTTAGGACCAAATTGTAAAGAAATTGCTAAAGTAGGGTTAATTTGAGAATAAGTTTAAGATCAAGGGTTAGATGGTAAATATTGTAATTATATATATGAATTATTATTTTTTTAAATCCAAAATCATATTTCTCTTAAATTTCATTTGGTTTTCTCCACCTCCTCTCTAGAAACCCTAAAATTCAACTATAAATCTCAAATCTCTTGTGGAATTCCAAGATCTTTGAAGATTGTAGGTTATATTTGGAATTAGAACTCAAAAGTAAGGTATGTTTATGGTTTGATTTTTTTGTGATTTCTTCTTCTTTGGGAAAAATGGGTTAAACCCTAAGTGTATTCATGAATATAGGTGAAAGATTGATGATTTGAGGTGGAATTTCTTCAAGATTGGTGCTGTTGGAAGTGACAGATTCAATTATGTAAGTTTGAAAATTCGTATAAAATCAACCATTTGTCCAAATGAGATGTTATGTATATGAACAGAAAGATCTATGAGTGTACTACAACTTTGTAGTTTACACCAAAACCTAGTTCTGAGTTTAAGCAACTCAAAAACATTGGTTTTCCCATCCCTGTTCTGCAACTTCGAAATTTCACTCTGTCAGTGTAAATTCTGTAGTAATTATACCAGAGCTCCAAATTATGGGAATCCAGTTTCTTTGAAATCCTAAGAGATATATCTACAACTTTGATTTTTACATGAAAGTTTGGTTTATCTTCTAAGTATGAGAAAAAGGCTTAAACTTTAGGTGTTAAGAATCTGTTAACTACTGTTTTGATATGTAGAGATTAGATTTTTACAAATTTTGTTTACGGTTCTATTAATTGCATTGAGTGTTTATTAAGTGTCCTAAGGGTATTTTAAGCACATTTGAAGGTCCGTAGGATCTTTTTATCTGTAAGGGGTTGTAAGAACTTGAAATTGATAAGAATTGTTACCGAAAGTCGTCTAAAGGTATTTTTTTCTAACAAGTGTAGGTAACCCGGAAGAAGAGAACCGTTCATAAGCCTCAAGTCTCTTGTGACTAACACTTCCAAGGCACAAATATTTACATTCTTTCAATATGTGGGTAATCAAATGTAATGATTATCCATTCCACGGAATCTTGATCATGATATTCATCCACAAAAGTGGAGGTTATCAAGACGTTATCCGAAATCTTTTGTTTTTATGAGATGTCTTGTTTTAAAGACTTTTGTATGCTTGAGACTTCAATCCATTAGTGGTGTATTATATGATTCTTGCTGATAAATTAAGTTGAAAGCTTCATGGTTTTATTATTCTAGTTATCCCATGTTAAATTATTGATACGATTAAGGAGTTTGAGTTCAAGATTATTGAATTTAGTTATGACTAGGCTTAGTACTTGGGGCACAGGTATTGAGATGCCTCCATGATGACTAAAATGGTCATGGCATTCTCATAAGGGTTATGGCCAAGCCAAATAGAGAATGTTGGATGCATCCTTGACCCGAATATCATGTACCATGGTTACTGGATAGAGCCAAATACCAATTACATTGGTTACCGGATAGAACCGAATACCATATATCTCTGGTTACCGGGGAATGAGATGGTGTGGTGCCCAACACTTCCATTCTATTACGACGCCTGATTGGACTGATCATCCATCGGGAACAAGAACAACGTATCCTAATGATACGAATGACCTTCTTACCTTATTTTTATTTATTTATTATATAAGTTTCAATTTTAGATATTTACACTTAAATGCATTTCAACTTTTATCGTAACGTTTTCTTGCATCTACTATTTTATCTTGTATTTATAATGTTATTATTCATTCACTAAGCAAATTTTTGCTCAGCCGAGGTTTGTTCTGTTTTACCTCGGCAAATTCAAAATCTAACCCGGGCGCAGCATGAACGGTCGAGATGGCTTAGGATGCAGAAAGAATAGTTTTAGATCAGTACTTTTGCTATGTAAATATATTAAGCATATGAATACTATTTGGTTGTAATGTAATCTTTTGGGAGTTATGTTAACGCTTTATACTTTGATCTATATGTTTTTTATCCGTTTTCGGTTGTGTCACGCCTCATTTTAAGTCTAGTAGAATGGGGGTGATATTCAGCAGAATAAAGTATTATGGGGAACGTGAATGGACAGTTTGGAATAGTTTGCATTAACAACTTGTATCTTATGCATAAAAATTGGTAACTAAAGAGATTTTTGAATTTTTGGCTTTAATAGGTTGTACTTCATGCTTAAAATGTTGTCTTTAAGACTTTTATCTTATATGCTTTATAAGGTAGTGTAATTGTATATATAATAAACAGATATATAAAAATAGCTAACAAAAGATAGAGCTCAGAAAGATGGCAAGATTGATTATTGCATAATCCTTCAAATAGGCAGGCTGGCTGCTAACTTAAGAGGCAGTAGTTTTATTTTCATCTTAGAAGACTGTAAATTGAGATCTTCACACCAAACGAAACTTTACCAAAATGAAATCCCACAAAAAAAAATGACTTCCAAATCTTCATACAAACAGACAGTAGCCTCTTTACTTTAAAATTTACCCAAAAACCTAACATCACAACTAATGTGACACTAGTCATAATATAGTCTTCTACTTGTAAATATATATAACTTCAAAAATAAATCATATATGATTCAGTGACTTAACAAACTATTATATATTCTCATGAAGGAATTCCCAGTACCTATTCAGCATATGATCCTTTGGTCTCACACGCTTCCAATGCCCTGTACAAAATATTGCATACGCATCCGCTGCATACCTACATACAATACATACCTACCTAATGGTAACCCAAAGAAATAAATGATGTAACCAACAACAAAAAAAGAAAAACAAATCAGCCAACTTTAACTTACTTCCCAACACCATGCAGTTGAGTCACATGTGTCCATTCGTCATCTATATATTGTTCAGACAGTGTCTGAATTATCTTTGTCCTTTTTCTTTGTAATCCAAGTGGTTGTATAACCTTTTGCATAATCTCTGCAGGAACCTCTGTAGCAGTCTTTGCATCTGGGCATAAGCTAAAGAAATCCGATATCACCCGTTTAACCTACAAAATAAAACAAACTTCCGTTATTTCTCAGGCACACATTGAGACAACTTTGAGGTAATAGCATCTTCATAAGTGGCATATCAAAAAGTTATATTTAGTACTGAACTAGCCAAACATTGGTTTATGCAACAAATATAAGAAATCAAGCAAATTATAAGGCTCTAAAATATATACCTTAGAGTGAAGGAATTCCTCAAAACAAACCAAAAAATCTTAAAAATCCACGTTCTGTATGTATGGTAAATTATCAATTACATAGAAAGTAAGTTTCATATTGAGCTGGAGATATTGCATTAACAAATCAATAGAGGCAAAACGTAAAAGAATATAGATTCAAGAAATGGGTTTATAAGATCATGTCATGATCAAATTTCCATAATGTTGCTTACAGAATTTCCAGGAGTCCACTGATACGTAAATGCCATTAATACAGAAGTTCTGTTTGCCATAATGTAAAGCATGTGCATTATTTCAAACTGTAATTAAAACTTCGAAATTGATAATAAACAAACAAAAAAACTGCTCAAGAGAACAAACCTGCACACCCTGTGTTTGATTTAGAAGTACACATATAGTCACAACCCTCCAGGTATCATGGAAATGATCCTCCTGGATGAGGTTATGATAAGATCGTGGAGGCTTCCACGTGTTATCTGGAGTCTTCTTCTTGTAGGCCTCATCTCGCTTTTGTGCAGCGGTAAGGTTTTCTGATGGATCTTTCTTCTTACTCTTTTTCTTTGTTTTTTCGTTTTCTTCTTTCATAGCTTTCGTTCGCAGTAATTTTGATTTAGCTCTCCCTTTCTTGAAGCATCCAACAGAACCTTCTTTTTCTTTTAGTGCCTTTTGGAAGTAAGGTGACACCTTCACGGTGGACATCTTCTGATAACCAACAGAAGCTTCTTTTCCTTTTACCACCTCTTGAAAGTAGGGTGACAATTTCACGGTAGAAGGTGGCATGTTTTGACTGCCAACAGAGTCTTCCTTTTCCTTCAGTGCCTTCTCAAAGTAGGGTGACACCTTCACAGTGGAGGGTAACACCTTCACAGTGGAGGGTGACATCTTCGGATCACCAACAGCGCCTTCTTTTAATTTTACTGCCTTTTGGAAGTAAGGTGACACCTTCACCGTAAAGTGTGACATCTTTTGATCAACAATAGATCCTTCTTTTTCGTTCACTGCCTTCTGGAAGTAGGGTGGCACCTTCAAGGTGGAAGGTGAAATCTTTTCATTAACATGTGAGTTTGAATGGCAAAGTGTACCTCCTCTGCCTGTCTTATTCGAAATTGAATGATAATCATCATCCTTGTACACAAATTGAGAAAATGGATCATCAAGATCATGTTTAGACATAATGCAGGGAATATTGTGTGCAACCTTGTCCAAGCAGAAAGCAGTGGTATTATCGTCATCTAAATCCTTCCTCTTCTTGTTCTTCTTTTTAGAAACTTTATCTTCTTGTTTAACTTCACGAAAATATTGTAAATTGTCATCCTCCTGCTTTGTGGCACTAAATTGTATTCTCTTCTTCTTGTTCTTCTTTCTGTTAGCATTACAACTCTGATTTAAAGGAGTAGTCATCTCATCGACTCCGTTAGGAATTTCATCCTTATGTTGATAATACTGTAAACCATTATTAGTTCCAATATGCACGTCCTCTTTCTTGGCGCTAGATTGTAGAGTCTTCTTTTTCTTCTTATTAGGAGGAGGAATTGTCTCTTTCACCTCTGAACCCTTTATCCTTTTGCTTTTTTCCTCCACCTTGTTAGGTACTTCATTCTTTCGGTAGGGTTTCCTAAAATGCTGTAAGTTGTTACCAGTTGCCAGATACACCTCCTCCTTTCTGGCGTCAATTAGTGTCTTTGTCATGGTCTTGTTGTTGTTAGCATCAGAACCCTGAATTATAGAGGGAGTAACTGTATCATTAATCTTCAAGTCCTTTCCTCTATTGTTAGGAACACCATTTTTGGTGTCTGTGACAGAAGCAATATCAAGATGCTCTGAAGTGTTTTCAGTTCCCAGAGGTCCCTTGTCTTTTGTAGCATTAGTTTGTAGTGTCTTCTTCCTTGCAATGTCATTACAATCGTGATTTAAATAAGGTGTAATTGTCTTCATCACGCTATTAGGAATTTCATCCTTGTGTTGAAGCGTACCAGAATGAAGTAAAGGGTTTTCAGTACCCAGATGTTGTTCCTTTTTGAAGTTAAGTTGCGTTTTGTTATCATAGGAATGCTGATTCAAACAAGTAACTAAGCCCTTCATCTCCTCCTTTTGGCCAATATTTACCAACTTATGTTCAGTTTCAAGATGCTCATCTTGTTTGGTGCTAGCGTGTATTTTCTTCTTCTTTTTCTTCTCATAATGTCCCTATTAAACAAACAGGTAATTTATAAACTGACAACCTTTCTTATAACAAATTGAATTCAGATTATAAAACCAAACATCAAGGAACATAGTAGTAATTAATTATGTATACAGTTAGTGAGTGAGTGAGGAGAAACGAATGGAAAGGTTACCTGCGTCTTCCTTTTTCTATCGACATGATCGATGATTTGAGAAGGAAAAGGAGAAGTAGCGCTGATTTTGTTGTTGTTGGCAGGAAGAGCGATGATGACATACATATGGTTTGTCGAAGGCGTCTGGATACCAAAATTGGGAAAAGAGGAGCAAAAGGAAGGAAGCTGCTGATGAGTCTTCGTCTCCATCTCCATCCTCGAGGGAATGAAGTGAAAACCCTTGCGGTGGTGGTGGTTTTCCCCCCAATTTTGCCTGCTTTTTTCTGGAGCGAAGAGTCGGGGTGAGGTTGATTTTGGGAGGCTAACGGCACCCTATCATTTGCTGATGTAACCCCTATCATTTGCTGATGTAACCCCTATCCCACTATGTAATATTTTTTTTGTTTTTTTGTGTTTTTATCTTTTTAATAATTTTTGTCTTTTTGTCTTTTTAATAATTTTTAAATTATACAATTTTAAAAGAGAGAGGCTAATGGCATCTTATGGGTTACCATTGACATCTTTAATTCGACTTTGAAACCTCTCCACTATCTTGTGGCACGGAGAGATGGAGAGACAGAGTCCGAGAAGACCAAAAGTCAATCACCGGAGAAGGAACAACGGCGAAGCACGCAAGCAAGTCGAGTCGGCGATTCGGGTTGGTATATCGAGAAGAAGGAACTTCGACGACACTCAAAAGAAAAGCGAGTCGGTGAATCGTGGTTTGGGATTCAAAGTGGAAGAATCGCTTCACAGGTCCGCAACCAGTTTCTATGTTACAAATTTCCCAAATGCTTTGGAGGAGAAGTTTCTTTGGGGTAGGGTGGTCGACGTGTTTATTGCAAGGAAGAGGGACTCGAGGGGTTTGAGATTTGGTTTTGTTAGATTCCTGGGTATTAAAGATGTCAAWCGAATGGAAAAAGCTTTATGTGAGGTTTCCTTTGGTTCGTTAAAGCTTAGGGCAAATGTGGCTAAGTATGTTAGGAAAGCCACGAGGGAGGTGAAGGGCACGTCACTGGATAAGAGTTATGCTCATAGGGTGGAGGCCGAGACCTCAGTGAGGAAGGATCAGCAGGGTTTTAGAGGCTCTGGTTCGTACGCTGATGCTGTCAAGAACGGAGTTTGTAAATAGACGATTAATTTCCGGGGTCATAAGAGTCTTCCTCTCAAGTTTTCTTCTTCGAATGAAATGAAAGGTAAGCTGAAATCGTCTCTTATTGGGAAGTTTCGTAGCTTTGATGTGTTATGTAATTTTCAAAAATTTGGGGAAATTGCTAGTTCACAGGAGTTGTTGGTCAGATATCTGGGGGGTTTGTATGCTCAGGTATGCTTCAAGAGTTTTGCCGATGCTCAAAACTTTCTGTTCAATAATAATTGTGTTTGGAGTGATTGGTTTAGCAAATTAGATTTTTGGAATGATAAGTTTGTGGTCAAGGAAAGGATAGCTTTTGTCACTATTCATGGTGTGCCAATCCAAGCTTGGACCCCCTAGTGTGTTTGATGCTATTGCTGGTAGATGGGGAGAAGTTATAATTTCTGAAAATTGTTCGGCGGTTAGCAGGAATCGAGAATTTGGGAAAGTCGGTATACTTACTGGTGAGGAAAACTGGATTATGGATTCTCTTGAGATAATTGTTGATGGGATTCATGTTCTTGTCCGAGTGGCTGAAGATATTGCGGAGGGCATGTCCATAGGTTCCTTTTTCGAGGATGCTAACGGAGACTCGGATTCGGATTCATTTTGTCGTTCAGAAAAGTTATTCGATGACGGCTTCCTTTATTCTTCTCCGGGTCAGTCTGATTTCTCGCAGTCTCGGCAGACAAAGGAGGATGAAGAGGATCAGTCGAGTCGTTGTTGTCAGAATGGACCCTCGGTCGAGTATAAAAGCAGGGAACCCATCTCACCTAGTCATGTTCAGCTTGGGGATCAAAATGTGGAGGCGGATGGATTTATTTCTCGTGAAGTTGACACCGATGAGGGCTTTGGTTTGGTTAAAGATGGGGACGTAAAAAGTGGGCCGATGGTGAATAACTTTAATCCCCTGGGGCTTCAAGATGAGCCGGTTTCTCAGGGTGGCCCTTTTGGTAACGTGCCTTCTAGGGATCTCGGGAATGAGGTATTAGATCTCAATGCTTCTCCGAAGAGTTTTGGCTTTGCAGATGAGGTGGATGGCCAGAAAGAAGAAGAGATTGCTCCGGTTGAAGATTTAGGGGGATCTGACTCCTCCTTGGATGATTTTGAATTTGAACTGGAAGATAGTCAAGCTTGGTCGATTGTCGCGAGGAAAAATGATTTGCGTCTGAAACGTCGAAGAAAGTGCGGTGCTAGATCTAAAAAGGTTCCGGAGGTCGAGGAGTCCTATAATGAGGTAGTAGGGCTTGACAGGGTGGTAGAGGAGGTTCCGATTGTTGTTCTGGATTCCAAGGTTCCCATTGTAGAAGTTGATGAAACTATTTGGGTTGGTTGTATGGTTGGTTTTGAGTTGGAAGGGAAAGAAGAGTTGGTTAAAGATTCCTTGCAAGTTGATGGAGATGGTGGTTGCTTATGTTAAAAATTCTTTCTCTTAATGTCAATGGTCTTGGAGGAGGTGTCAAAAGGAAGTGGGTGAAGGAGCTCAAACAGGTTAACAGAGTGAGTTTTCTATGTATTCAGGAGTCTAGAATCTCCAAAGAGTCTTTTCCTAAAGAGTTTTTATGCTCTTCGGTGTGGGGGGGTAGGAACGTTGAGATGGCCTCGGTTGATCCGATTGGTAGATCGGGTGGTCTGGTCTCCTTTTGGGACTCCTCTATTTTCTTCAAGATAAGCTCTTTCTCTGACAGGAATTATTTGATCGTTATTGGTACTTGGCGTCCCAACGGGGTCAAGTTAGGTATTTGTAATGTCTACGCTCCTCAAGATGCTAGTGGTAAAGATCAGTTGTGGTCATCTCTTAAGGATCTTGTGGAGTCTTTAGTTGTTGATGTTTAGATTTGCTGCGGAGATTTCAATGTTGTTAGAAGCCGGGAGGAAAGGGTTGGGTCCGAATTTGATGCTGGAAGTGCTTTGGTTTTCAATAATTTTATCTCTGAGATCGGGTTCTTGGATCTCAAATTGGGCGGTCGAAAGTTCACAAGGAAAAGTGATGACGGTGTTAAATGGAGTAAACTGGATCGTTTCTTGGTATCTCAGAGTTTTCTCGGCTTATGGCCTAAGGCTGGTGTGACTGCGCTGCCGTTTTTATATTCGGATCATTGTCCTATTCTGCTAGATGGCTGTGACGTCGATTTTGGGCCGATCCCTTTTAAATTTTTTAATTCTTGGCTTAGTGATCCTGAATTGGTGCAGATGGTGAAAGAGGGTTGGATAAGGAATTGCAATGGGTACTCGAATCCAGACAATATACGGTTTCTTTTATCAAATTTAAAGCGGTTGAAGGTGAAGATTAAAGCTTGGAGTATCTCAAGATCGACTTCTTCTAGAGCTGAGAAGGTTTTTCTTACTGCTAATATCAATGATCTAGATTCGAAAGCGGTAGCTGGTAATCTGAACGCTGTTGATGCGCAAATTAGATCAGATACTATGAAGCGTATTTTGGAGATTGATGAAGCGGCTATTAATGATCTCAGGCAAAAGGCTAAAGCCAGGTGGACTCTCGAAGGTGATGAAAATTCTCGTTTCTTTCACGGTCTTCTTCGATGCAGATATAGTAAGTTAAATATTCATGGTATTGGTGTAAATGGAAGATGGATTAGAGATCCGATAGAGCTGAAGAAAGCAGCTTTTGCTTTCTTCAAAGAGAAATTTTCGGAAGATAAGGTGTGTCGGCCGTCTTATAAGAGCAACCATTTCAAAAGAATCTCGCTAAGTCAAATGGAGACGCTCGAGTTGCCTTTCACTATGGAGGAGGTTAAAATCGCTGTTTGGGGCTGCGGTAATGAGAAAGCACCGGGACCTGATGGTTATTCTTTTGCTTTCTTTAAAAAGTTTTGGGATGTCATTGGTGAAGATGTGTTCAAGGCGATCAAGGCCTTCGAGGCCAATGCTGATATCGGAAGGGGATGCAATGCTTCGTTCATTATTCTTGTTCCAAAGGTAAAGGACCCTTTGTTGTTCAAAGACTATAGGCCGATTAATCTTATTGGTTGTGTTTGTAAAATTGTCTCCAAGTTGCTGGCGAATAGACTCAAAGGGGTGTTGGATTCGATTATCGGAAAGGAGCAGTCGACCTTCATTAAGGGTCGTTGCATTCTGGATGGTCCGCTAATTGTTAACGAGTCTATTTCTTGGGCTAGGAAGGCAAAACGTAAAGTGTTAATTTTCAAAGCTGACTTTGAGAAGGCATTTGATAATTTGAACTGGGATTTTTTAGACGAGGTTATGTGGCAAATGGGTTTCAGTAWTACCTGGRGAAAGTKGATTCGAGGTATTCTATCTAATGCTAGCGTATCTATTCTTGTAAATGGAAGCCCTACGGAGGAGTTTATCATGGAAAAAGGTGTGCGCCAAGGTGACCCTCTTGCTCCTTTCCTTTTTATAATCGCTATGGAGGCTCTTAGGGTAGTTATGTATGAAGCTCGTATTAAAGGAGTTTTTAACGGGTTGACCCTCCCTAGAGGTGGCCCTATAATAGAGATTCTTCAATATGCTGACGACGCTCTATTTTTTGGGGAATGGTCAGTTTCGAATGGTCTAAATTTGATTCGTTTGCTAAGATGTTTTTATCTTTCATCGGGGTTGAAAATTAATTTGCAGAAAAGTTGTTTATATGGCATTGGCACGGGAATWGGTGAAGCGGAGTTGCTTGCTCAAAGAATGAATTGTAAGTTCTCTTCTATTCCGTTCCTTTATTTGGGTCTTCCGGTAGGCGCTCAGATGGGTAGAAGAAGYAATTGGAATAAGTTAGTGGATAAAYTCCAAGAGAAACTCTYAGCCTGGAAGGCCAAATCTTTATCGTTTGGTGGTAGGAAGATTCTTTGTAAATCGGTGCTGGGTAGTTTGGGTGTTTATCTTTTCTCTCTTTTTAAAGTCCCGGAAAATGTTCTTAGCACTCTTGAAAGTCTTCGGAATCAATTCATTTGGGGCCGGACTGGTCAGAGCAGGAAAATGATCTGGGTTAGGTGGAAAGTTACTTGCAATTCAATGGATAAAGGTGGTATTGGTATAGGTAGTCTGAAGGCGCTCAATTGGAGTCTTCTTGCTAAGTGGTGGTCGCGGTTTTTAAATGAAGAAGGTAGTCTGTGGAAAGATTGCATAAAGGCGTTTCATGGGGCTAGTGGGGGGTATTTTTAGCGACGGTTGCAAAAAACCGGGTGTTTGGGGAGCTATTGCAAATTGG